CCCCTCCAAATTTGATGCCAGCCATCATGTGCCGATTCCCCGGTCAGTTCACAAAGAGGTGATCGCAGACAGAGCGGCATGTGACTCGGGAAAGTTGCCGGCCTAATCAGCTTAGTTACCCTTGAAACAATCTGCAGCTGTGAAGTGCACCCATCAGAAACTCCATGCATGCTTTGCTTTACCCTAACAGCCAGCGCGGTCGCCGCACCTAATCCGCTAATTGTGTCAGCACACGACTTTCATGTGTTAACCGTTCTCATGCAGAGTACGAAAGCCGAACCATGGTGTTGGAATTCAACTGTCAGTCCACCTATAAGAGATATTTCATTTCGGGGTAGATGGCAATGCACTGAATCAACCTAAGCGGTATTTTAATGATTCCCCCACGCCAGCCAAAATACAAATGTAAAAAAATGGCTATCAGTACTCTAATATGTATGTTATGCAAGAATGCATTAAAGCATGCAGCAATGCAAGAAAAAATTAAGCCAGTAAGGCCTCATTCACACGAGAAAAGGCCAGCATGTACAACTTGAGGTGAGCGTATGGCCGCGTACTCCCATAGAGAAGGACAGGGGCTGCGTACTAATCACACTCAGCACCTGTCCTTCCCGGGAATGGCCCGATACGGCCGTGCACGCAGCACGGAGCTGTATGTGCCGGCCTGTTCTCGTGTGAATGAGGCCTAAAACTGCGTGTAAATTTAATCTCTGAAGTCTAAAATGGGACCTAAGAAAGCTGAGAATTGCAGCTTGTTATTCATCCCTCCATCATACCCCATAAGAGATATCAGTTCTAGGTGGATCGACACTTTAAAGCGTACCTTGCACCTTTGTGAAGCGGTCTGCTTATTCCAGGTGCCCCCCTTTTTCCACTGGAAGGAAGAAAAAAAACCTGTTGGGGGGGAATTAGGTTATATATTTTCCCCAGCTTCCTCCAACGGTGCCTAGGCAAGGGTGAGGTCATTTCCTTCTGGCAAGATCTCAGAGAATGTTGAGTAGCCCAAATCTCCCAAAGAATTCAAAGGTCTACTCCGCATTCCCCGGTATCTTGTCAGCAGGAAGACGCCATCATTCCCCGCACTACAGAAGTCGGGGAAAGGGGAGCATATTATCTGACTATTTGTCCCCCTTACAGGTTCTTTTTTGCCTTCATATGCAGCATTTGAGGAAGTGCAAGGTGCGCTTTAATACTCACTCCGGAAACCCACAACGTTGTCATGTTTGCATTCCATTGTTCTGTTGGCTATAACATGTTTTTTTTGTCATTGTTTGTTTTTGTTGTCTGTTTGGATGACTTCAGGCAGTGCCAGAAAGAGCTACCGAATGAGCAGTATGGTTAAACATGTTGTGCCAGGACACTTGGATGGCAGTCCGTCCATTAGCTTTTCCCGAGGAGGTTAGTAAGTGAGTTCGGAAGCCCCCGTTCTACGAAGAACTCAGGGGGGGCTAGTAAGGATGATCTTGGGCGCAATCAAGGATTTTGTACAAGTTTACATTGTCATTAATTATCTGGTTTATGATACACACCTTCCCTGGGTCACGCTATTTTAGGGATTATCTACAAACATCAGAGAAGATGAGAATAATCGTTTTGACACTAAAATCAACCAGATGGACACAAATCATTATAGATTATTTTACTCATCTTCATCCTGATGTCTCCAGTTTTCCTCTTCCCTTTACCTCAATTCCCACCAGCCCTGTAAGAGATTGTAATGCCAGAGCGTTTCCTGGACTTCCCAATCATGTGATCCCTGTGATCGTCCTCCAGAGTGATCAGGAGCTTGTCCTACCGACTCCCGGTCATTGCTATGTGACAGGGAGCTATCGGTGACAGCATGGTCACAGTGTAGGGGGCCCAGCACAAAACAGTTTTGCAAATATGTGGGCAGCATGGTATGAAATAAGGCCCCCATCCCCCATTGCTGCCACATATATGTGTACCGCCGGTTGGAAGGGGTTAAAGAAGTCTGATTATAAATGTTTTTCCCCAGGATTCACTCAGCTTTCACTCAGGATTCCCGCATCTTTCTAATTGGGTTCAAATGGGAAAATTTGTGAATCCCGGGTGAAAACATAACTAGATCCCCAACGCGTATACAATCCCAAAGTATATTTTTCAGTATGTTTGGCACCATGTCTCACTGTATATGGTTTTCTTAAGCAAATCATTTTTTTTTCTGAATTCATTACAATGTTTCTTACTTGAGATCTTGCCGGTAACATCACTTCCTGTTGCAGCGCCAAGCTACTGCCTTCCAAATGGCAGCCATGTTGTCAGCCTGCCGTGCAAGCTTCATTTGGCCAGCAGACCTTTTAGGCAGCCTAGCAGGCAGCTGACTGAGGTCACATGGCCTGCAACAGGAAGTGCTATTACCGGCAGGATCTCCAAGTAAGAAATATTGCTATAAATTCAGAAAAATATGATTTGCTTCAAAAGCTGTATACAGTGAGACATGGTGCAAGACATTGATTGTGGGTTTACATACACTTTAATGGGTCACTGACCTTGAATAATTATTTGGCTCAAGTTTCCTGACTCTATAGTGATGGCATAAAAAGCATAGCAAGGTTTGGAATGATGACGCCAGAGCCTGCACCTTTAAAAAGAAGTCAACAATGGCAGCTCCCCTATTCCTGTCCTAATAGGTCCCCTTTACCTCAATACTGGATAATACATTACATAGGAATAAAACCCTCTCTGCCAGTAAATTCCATGTAGGATTTTACCTTTATGTGATTTAATGCCCGCTCCCATTCCACTGTTACAATGTATAACAGATGTCGCTTGCTTTTCTCCATGTGCCTGCGCTAACCCATCCCAGCATCCAATATCCCAAGCACAGCATTTCAATGTCGCGTCCTGTTTTGGCCAACGAGCCATATATCAGGATATTGTAATCCATCTGATGATTATCATATCTGTTACATTGTGTCGAATGGTCTCTGAGTGAGCTCCAGCATATTCAATTACAAACTGGGTGTTTTTTGCTCCATGTAACTCATGCAGAATCCTTGTTTGCTCTGGCTGCCTCCCGGCCAGCTCCATGGAAAGGTTTCCTCCTTTTAGGTGGTGTGTCTTGGCTTCCTTCTCTCTCCCATCACGTTCTTGCCGGATGAAAAGCTTGCGGGGAGATGTTAGGCAAAGGTTGGACTTGAATAGAGAAGACCTTTTCTCTGATCAGGAACGGATCTCCTGTCCCCACCATTTGAGAACTGACGTGGCTGTTTTTGGTGGTGGGGATTTGGCATACAGGTTTTCAGCACACAAAGGTTCGGCACCAATAAACAGAAGAAGGATTCATTTTTTTTTAGGGTGATGGACATGCAATTGATACAGGTAGGGCGTATGATGTGCTATGTGGCAAAATTCATAACTGACACTAATGCTATTTACCCTTCTACAGGTGGCCACAGTCTGATTAAAACTTAGGAAAGGTAGCTCTGGAAACTGTGGGCTATCCTATTAGTATAGAGGTTTTAGTGATACCTATATAGGGTATGTGGATTCTGGACTGGCAACTTCTCCGTGCCAAAGCATTCCCACAGTTTCCTTGGTTTGTAGCTAAAAGAATCCAAGATTGAAGCACCACACTGAGAATTGATTGTCCAGATTTCAATTTTTTTCCATATAAGATCAGATAAAAGACTTTATCACAGAGCCAATGCGTTTCAGCAAATATGGAGTCTGAAGGCCTACCTAACCAATCCATTCAAATTATATCCAGTCAGAAAGGCCCTCACACTACTCAGTTGCTGGTAGATCTAAACAAGATTATACAATGAGATTGTAACCTGTGTGGCCAGGTGTAGGGCTATGCTGCATGGTCAGTTTTAATCTCTTGCTACTAGGAGATTTAGCGCTTGCTCTGGCGGTTACCTCATTAGGGTGGAGCTACACAGGAGAATTTTAGTCAATTTGGTAGTGGTAGCAAGTGATCACCGAACACTAGAAGCCTGACACTGAGTATTTTACCCTACACCAAAATTTGGTCATCAGCCTTAACTCCTTAGCCACCACCAAGGCATAAACCTAAACGTCAATGTAACAGCTGAACCAATTCCTTACCTTCAACTAAACTTTTGACTCCTCAACGTAACCCCGGAACGTAAGGCTAAGTCACATCTGTGGTGAGTACAACCAATCCACCTTCAGTACCAAGTGCAAGGAATGGTTTGAGAAAAGCATAGTACTCCGTCCATGTCTCCGTTCATCCTGTAGGTTGTGGTGACAGGATATCCGTTCTCTTTTAGCGTAAGTTAGTTTTTTATTACATGTCTGTCTCAGCTTTTTGGGCAACAGCGTGATGGAAAAGAACAGGGAGACAAGACCTCCTTCTGCACTCCTATTTCTCTCTGTATGCTCTGATGTGTTTGTCTCACGGGAACCTCCTGTCTCTTTCCTCTCCTCTCTTGTTCCTCCGTCAGTCCTCGGGTTACACCCAACCGCTAAGGCAAGGATACACGCTGCAGGTACTGGCTGTCTGTCCTTATCATATACTACACCCCTCACAGCCTTTTCATTCATCATATATGGGAGTCACACTGAGGGGGTGGCTTGGGACACTGGAAATTCAGGACATCTGGAGCACTGGCCCATACCAAAAACAGAACAATAATGTTCCAAAGGGAATTGACTTCATATAGTCAAATACATATATCCAAGGACAGGATTAAGACGTGGCAAAGGCTTTTTTTTATCCTAAAGACTGTACAAAGGAGACGGAGCTATTGGTTGAGTATTGAAGATAGAAGATTTCACCATCGGTCCAGGGAGGTGTTCTTTGCAATAAGAGCGGTTAAGCTTGTAATGCCCTGACACAGTATGAGGAAGTGATGACATAAAAAGGGAAAAAACTAAAGTATCTTTTTTTTTTTTTTTATGTAAACACTCTAACAAATTACCAATTAAAAAATGTCCATGCATGCTTGCGTACCTGCAAATATTTTAATCTTCATTACCCATTTTTCATATTATCCATCTGCCATCTTGCAATCAGTATCAGTGGGAGGTGATGGAAGAATGCTACCAGGTGAGAGTGATTTAATAATTACAGGAAGTTCTCCATAGGGACATTTTTTTTTTTTTTTTTAATTCTTTGCCAGGAATCAGAAAGTAATAGACAGTTCTGTCTCCCCTCTAATCCTGCCTCTCTCCTGCTCTTTTATCATCCACTTGTCACTTTGTTAGTAAAATGCAGCTTTCAACAGGTGATAGAGAGCACAGAACAGGACTGGGAGGGGGACCACACTTCTCTTGCAGTGATAGTCTCTGTCCCTTATACAAATATAGGAGCATAATTACATTCTAAGAGGGAACTGTGGCCTAAGGGCTCAATTTTCTTCAGCCCATGATTCCCCACATCCTCTGCCTGCTACTGTATTCAGGCAACCTGAATACACTGGCTCATCCAAACAGTCCCATAGGGTGCAGTCACTGAAAACTCCATAATTTTCCACCCAGCTTGGTCGGTTTTTGAAGGGTCACCTACTGCTCATTCTCAAGCCATCTATTTGGGGACTCAAACACATCGGGCTGTGAAGCTTGCAGAGCTGAAAGCAGGAGGTCATAGAGAATCCCAGGTCCTGCACTGTGCCTGCATACCTTCTGGAAAAGTCATAAGATGCATAGTTTATCAAGTATACATCATGCATGTACTATTTTTATATTTTAATGTCAGAGTGTTTGTATAAAAAAGAAACTTTATTTAAGTTTTAAAGAGGAAACCTTGTTGGTTGCTGAGGTTATCTGCTCTACTTTTGCTCCAATTTTGCGAAATTATTTCCTTTAGCTCAACATCATTTAGTTGCTAAGTAGGATCAGTTTACCACATAGGCAATTTCAGCTTGGAATGGGTTTAGAAGGGGAAACACTCCCATAAATGAGAAGAAGATTGAATCACTCTCAGAAATGCTGCTTGCAGCGGTATCTGGATCTCTCTTGACTCTTCTCCACCCGTTTTTAAAGGAGGAAAGTAATTTAAAAAGAAACCTGTTCTGAGATGATGAAGCCACCGATTGAGATTAAACTTAATTTTAAGATCTTTCTAAGGGATTGCTGATCATCTGTATTGTAGCTCAGCCCTTGGAGCAGGTCACACAGTAGTCACCCAACATTGCCCTCACATCACTCACTCCTGACACATCAGTCCCATCATTTGCTGCCACGTCACTGTCGGGTCTTCTGATGGAACATCGCACTTTGTATTGCGTTCATCGTCTTTTCTAGTTTGTTCCATCCTTTTCTGTAGATTTGTGTTTTTGTAGTACTAACAATGCAAATTGACTCACCGAATATTTCTATGTAATTCTGTGTTCTCTGATGGTATTTATCACCTCTAAGTGAATATAAAACTCTGCAAAGTTTTCCATAGCGCTTTGGTGTGGGTGTTCAAAATGAGCTTGGTTGACCCGTATCCTCTGTTGGCAAGGAACTACAAGTTCCAGCATGCTTTGCCAGCTGGGGTTCTGCTGGTTACCCGTGCTTGGTGTAAACCCGTTCCCATATAAATTCAAATTGGACAGTCCTGCGTTTTAAAGGCCGGATCTACTGAGCACTGATGTTTCATTTTTTGGGTGGATGATGGTTGGTGGGTTTTCCAACCAGCCTGTGCCTTGTAGCCTGTAGCAGCAAGATGGTAATTCATTCTCAGGCATCTTTGCTTCATGTCGCCCTGGTCATTATGACTCTTAGTACACTTTAAGGCTTTAACACCCAAGAAGTTAACCCTAACCTTGATCCAAACCCCAACGCTATCCCTAAAAGTGAACTTTTGCTTTGCCCAGTGCAGGGTACATTGACAGTTTCTCCTAAATCCCTCCCCCCCCTACCAAGAACATATATTCAGTTTTCCTTCTCTAACCTAATGCTCCTTTTAGCTTCTTGGATCAAAGAAATTCAGCACTCTCTATGCTCCGGGATGCTCGGGTTGGATCTTACACAGGGCTGGCAACTCTCCGTTCTCTCGTGACAGCACTGAGCCCATAACCAGGTGCCAGGGCTGACACATGCTCTGTATACACAAAAGTTCTAAGTATTATTTTAATTTCTGGTGGCTGAGCAGAATGGTGGAGGTGAAAAGTATAGGCAGTATGGACTTGGGTAAGGAAGGATGCTCAGTTTGAAACTTTTGCGTGCCTCAAATATAATCTGGCCATTCATAGGTGCCAGTATGAATTAATTCCTGTGCGTGTGCATGGGAGTTGCATCATCCTGGACCAGTCAATCAAGATGGCTGAAGTTGCCGAACTCGGAAAATGGCCGAGCCAGATGGAAGTGGCCAAAGGCTGTGCAGACTTTGCATCACTGGAGAGGAGGCAGGTGAAGCAGAGTTTGGTTTTGCTTTAAACTAACCCGTTGCTTTGCCAAGCCTACTAAAGCAAAGAATTGCAGTAATCTTAACCCATCCTTAGACCTAAACATTTTATCATTTTACTATCATGCCGATACCAGAGCCAATATCACATCACACATTGTCTGCACTGAATAATTTTTGCATCAAATGTAACCTATTAAAGTCTCCACAGTGTACAAAGCATTACTAGATATACGGAAGAGAGGGTGCAACGCCTTCATAGTGGCATTATGATCTACATTGGGGAACTCTCATCACTAGAATTTTTTGGAGGGTTTATGGTAAAAATTTCAGCTGAATCCATAAAACATAATTTGTGTGACAATCGAAGACTTCCTGATACTACTGAACTTTAATCAAATATGAAAAGGTTTGTATTGGCAGGTTGGCACACACCCAAAACTGAAATATCGGTCTCCAAAAGACTTACACTTTAAATTGAAGACGCTTCTGGACTGCTGAGTATATTTCCTTAGAGGTGATTTATTGTAGACTTAGTGCATCCTACAGACGCCTTTCTGCAGATACGACTTGCTCTGCAGTGATCGCCGAGCCTGCCATATTCCTGTTGGTGTAACTTTGTTTTTCTCGTTTTTTAATGCTCTCATAATTTGCACCCAGGTGTTTGGGCCAGCCTGCGCTCAAGCAATCGCTTAATCACCACCCAGACACCTCTTATTGAAGTTGGCGCAAGGCTAGCGGGAAGGGATCACGGAGCTTCGTACAGCGACCAGACCTCGCTGCAAAACAACCTGCTAAAGCGCCAGGCAGCACTGTATATCTTTGGTGAAAAGTCTCAGTTGAGGGTAAGAAGTTTTATTTGTTAACTGTTTGTCCTTTTTGTGTTTACCTATCAGCTAAGAGAAACTCAATTTCAGCAAATTCAGTGCAATATATATGAATCCTTGACCGTGCTGCAAATGTATTGTACTAAAATGTTTGTAGCTGCTGAGATCTGCCCAAGATCCTGAATACAAATGGCGTTGCCTTGGAAAACCAGGATCATTAAAGAGACCCTGTCATATTGTCCATTCAGACCCAAACATGGTCTTAATATGGACTTGGCCCTTCTTTGTGGCTATAATGGCCTCCACTCTTCTGGGAAGGTTTTCCACAAGATTTTGGAGGGGGGATTTGTATTCATTCAGGCAAAAGAGGATTTGTCAAGTCAAGTACTGATGTTGGATGAGAAGACCTCATTCAACTCACAAGGCTCAGAACTGTAGGGTTCACAACTGTACAATTCAGTAGAGTTAAGGTCTGAGCTCTGTAGGCTGTTTAAGTTCCTCCACATCATACTCCTCAAGCCATGTCTATATGGAGCTGGCTTTGTACACAGGGAACAGTCATGCTGGAACAGAAGAAGGTCTTCACCGAACTCTTACCACAATGTTGGAAGAGCATAATTGCCTACAATATTTTTGTATTAACAGCAGCCTTCACTGGAAACACCTCAACTCAGTCATTTGTAATTTGGAAGGGTTTCCACATATTTTGGCCATAAAAGTATTTGATGGTCAGATGTCCACACGCATTTGGCCATATAGTTGAAATATATATTATATAGTTGTGTGTGTGTGTATATATAATGCAAAGAAAGTTTTTAGAATTTTTGTATCATTCCCTACCAGCATATGGTTTAAGGTTGAGGCTCTGGGTTAAGCAGTTATCCTGAGATGTGAAAGCCTGATACTTGCCCTTAATAGGTTTTATATGCTTTAAAAGGCTGACATTTTGGACAATTGAGGCTGAAAAGCTCCACATACTCCAGATACCACCACTGTTGCCCTTTCATAGACCTTAGATGGTCCACACCGGGCAGTAAGCAATTTGAATATTAGGAGATCCTTTGCCATTTGCATTGGAATCAAGCTAATCTTTTGCTGCTTTATTGTGGAGTTCCCCTGTGGGGAACTGGTGTGCGCCCTTCATCAGAGTCACAGTACATCTTTATTCAATGAATGGCGATCACATCTGGGACTGCGCTTTACCACTTTTGATTCTCGGTGTCCCTCGTGCCGAGTCTCTCTTTTTCCCGGCACAAAACCTTATCGACGCATTCTCCAAATAGCTGCTGCTTAGTAATGCTGAGTTTACAGTCGTGGTTCACTCTAAATACACAACTTGATAATCCCACGACCCATTTTCTTAACCCCTCGTGCTCAGAGGACATTGCTCTCTGGGCGACATTCTTTGTCCTATCACTGTAATATTTGGGCAAGGTCCAAGAACAGCAGCGACTCCTGCGTCTGAGGCATTTTCTGCGGGGAGAGCTCCTATCTCATCTGGAGTTCTTAGAAAGGAATGTGTCTTCTCACGAGCTAGTATTATCAGAAGCCCCCTTTGTAGGACAGCGACCCGGTGCCACTCGTCTCATAATTGCCTTGCTTTATCCCTTTTTGTAAACGCTGCGCTGGAATTAATGCACGCTGCTACGATCGTCTGACACGGAGGTCTCTCTGACACTTGCTTGGCCAACTTTACACTGGGGTCATCTGCTCCTCGCTATTAAGAGAGCTTAATACCAGCTAAGCTCTTCCGTTTATCTGAATGATCTCTCTTTGTCTCCTATACAAAACAAGTTTGAGATTTGTGAAGGTGTTACAAAGCCCAGAGGCATACCTCCCCATTCCAGGGATGGCTGAATGGTATCTCTCAGGGCGTGGCTTATTCAATAAAACCCAACTTTGAGCACAATAAACGTACGACAGCTAAATCAGTTAGACTTTATTCGCCTTTCAAAGCAACATCCCCCCCCCCAAATCATCCAGGGTTTCTTTTGTGCTGTAGGTCTCGTAGACCCCAGCGCTGTGGTCATGTCTCTGCCCCTCTCTTCCTAACCATTCAGAAACGTCCCAGGCCCTGTTCTGTGAATGGCCAGGAGGAGAGGGAGGTAGAATGATGTGAATGTAAGTGCTGCATAAATTGTTGGCACTTTATTAAAAATGTCTGCCTGCCTAAGGTGCCTCAACCTCCTGAAGGACCAATCAGCAATGGGAAAGCTCTCACACTTTGCAATCGCATAAAATCTGACATTAATGTATCCATGGTGTTCATTCCTACGTTTTATATTGTTTATTGGAAATTAAAATTGTTCTTGTTTTTTTTTTTTATCCTCTGGCACCCACATGAGGTTACAATTGGATCGTGATCGTTGTGTGCTGTGTTGTGTCAGTAATTCACCTTTGTTGTGGAGACAGTGTCCATCCACAGGATCTGTATACACTATCCAGGCCTGCTCTACATCTTACCGGCCAAAGAGCGTATTTCATAGGAATGGTTGCCATGGTACAAGAGGCTAATAAACTAATAATACATCCTCATTTAAAAGTGTACCCGTTGTCAAATGCTAACCTATGTGAGCGGTCTTAAGAGAATAAATAGATTAGGAGGAATAGAAACACTGAAATGATTAGCTTTGTTGGGGAAAATGCTGATCAGTGCTGTCTTCATTACTGCTCACATGACTGGAGGCCTGAGGATGTGGTCATATGAATTCTGCTTTGGGGGATGATCACAGGTAAGATTGGCTGAACTTCAGCAGAAATCACAGGACCAAGTGTTTAAGCCAGGAGTCCACAAAACGTCTAAACAAAGGGCCACTTCACTGCACATTAGACATTAGTGGGACCAGACTGTGGCTAGTGGGAGTAGAACATCCCCCTCTCTTGGTGGTCAATGGAAGTAAAATAATGATTTAATACCTGTGGTCAGTGTGAGGAGAAATAGGGCCCCAACCTTAATGTCAGAGGACTTTATGCCCTTTTGTTTGTATCAAGAAATAGAGCCATCTTGTTGGTGTTATTGGGAGTAATATGACCAATTGTTGGTTTCAGAGGATACCCCATTGTTTGTATCAGTGAAAGAAACAGAGCCTTATAGTTGGTTTCTTTCAGTGGGAGGAAAATGAGGACTCATGCACCATTGTTTGTATCAGTTGAAGGAGAAGAGCCTTCTCATTAGTGTCAGTGGGAGGAATTATGACCCATAATTGGTGTCAGTGAGAGGACTTATACCCCATTGTTTGTATCAGTGAAAGCCTTCTCATTAGTGTCAGTGAGAGGAATAGTACCCCAAGGACCAGGATAAAGGCAAGCAAAGGGTTGCAGTTTGAGAACAACTAGTTTAGGCCCTCAGGCTTGTGGTTAGCGCGAGAAGAAGCCAATTGCTGCATTTGCTCCAGGAAATGCAAGTCTTTTATGTGCTGTTATTACTTTTTATTTATTGTATCCATCCCAGCAAAAGAACAGGTCCACTTTAGGTAACTACCTGTAAATGTTATGTTTACAGGCAGTACAGGATGTTGGAACATGGGTTTTATACAGTGCAAACACAATCATCAAATTAATATAAATGAATCCCACCCACCATCACCTACCAAGGTCAAAGCTTCATGCAGTTTAGGTCAATCACAAAAACTCATAAACCTACTGAATGTTTCTCACCGATGTATGATTATGCAACAGAAGGAGCTGCTACCTCACATCTATTATTGAATGGTCTTAAAGTGAACTTGTTGGGTTCATCACACTTTATAAACAAACGTTACTGGTAAAGTGCAGGCAATGGTATCCCCTCCTTTGTGCCTGCAGAAGGTCCTGGTTTCTGGGTCTGGCTGTAGACAGGTCCTTAACTTCTCTCTAAGTTGAGATCAAGCCTGTCCCCTTCCTTGCATTAAGCTCCTTCCCCATCAGCTGTCAAATACCGAACCCTCCCTGGCCAATAGAAACTCTGCCTACTGAAAGAGGGTGGGGCTTAATGCTAGAAGGATACGAGGATTAATATTACCTTGGAGGGAACCAGAGGCCATGTATACATCTATGGTTCACCCTGGACACAATGGAAGGGATTTGTAGATATTATAGTGTAAAGTTGCCTTATATGCTTTGGTAGAAACTACAGGTTTACTTAAGGGTGGGGCAGGCTCGGGCAACAAATATTTTTGGGTGTCTGGTTTGGGAAACCAAGCAGTTTGCATATCAGCAGACCTACTGGCTTCAGAAGCAGAGACAGAATTGTCAGTGGAATGCGATTAGAGATTTGAACTAGTCCTTAATGGAGCAAAGCAGCACGTGGTCTCCTGTCTGTCAATAACGGTCCATGTGCTTTTTTTTCTTTTCTTGCCAGAGTTTCAAGTTAGACTTGGCCTTGAACTGTGAGTTTGTACCGGTTGAGTTTGGTGATATTCGGCAATTGAAGACCAGTTTTAAGAAGCTGATGAGAGCCTGCGTGCCGAGCAGTGTCCCCGGGGACTCGGACGCCACTTTTCTCAAGTCACTGGCTGACTCAGAGTGGTTCTTACAGGTGACCGTCATGTTCTGTCTGAGGATATTGCTGGACAATGACTCAACCTAAGCTGTGATAACATGCATCGAATCTTGCTCCTCTTGCCAGTGATATATTGCAAGCTTTTACCAGTATGGATGTAAAATTATACCTTGATCTAACCTGTGATCTTATATTACAGATGCACAGAATAATCCAACTGTCTGTGATCGTGTCGGAGCTGATGGAGAGCGGATCTTCAGTGATGATCAGTCTAGAGGACGGAAGTCTTTTCTGAGTGTGTGTCATCCTTTCTTTTTTTCTCCATGTTATGTACTGTATTAGGTGTATTCAATGATATCACAGGGTTACCCCCATTTCATTAAACTAGTTAGGTCTTCAATAAAAAACAATTAAATGTAGTTTATGTATCTCAGTCAATATTTTAGCCTCCTGAAGGTCATTGCTAAGAGATTCAGACTGGAAGCAGAAGTTTTTTCTATGTTGCACGAGGAACTGGCTATATAAGACTGGAGGGTACAAGGTTAACCTCCTCAGTATGTTTCTGCTCATTCGTTATCCGTTCACATGCCATGGGTGGACCCTTGACCAAGTTGTGTTGCTTTGACCACAGTAGAGATAAGTGAGGTCAGGATCTGGCAGGTGCTGTCTAACTGGATTTGAAGACTGTCTGAACAGAATTACAAGAGGTTTGGCACGTCAGACCATTCATATAAATATGTTTAGTGTTATTATATGTATATTTCCACATTAAGCTTTTGGTAGATGTCTGGGATTTGTTCAGTCCTGGTGGTGAGTGGAACTTTCTACCACCCATCTGTCCTGACCAGTAATAAAACAAAGTGTATAAACTGACAGTCACATTTTTGTTGGGTCTCACCATCTGTCCCATTCCTTGCTTTCATACATCCAGACTTGCGGTTAAGAATGGATAGAGGATTGCAGAAAACACATAATATAGAATATATAAGGCCCATATTCATTTACAAATGTGTAATCTTTGCTTTTGATAGATCATCTCTCTTGTGCAACTCCTTGGAGATCCGTATTACCGCACGTTGGATGGATTCCGCATGTTGATGGAGAAGGAGTGGCTTTCGTTCGGCCATAAATTTAGCCAGCGCAGTAACCTGTCCCTTAACAGTCAGGGTAGCGGCTTCGTGCCCATCTTCCTGCAGTTTCTGGATTGCGTGCACCAGGTAAGCGGTACTGAGGTACATCACCCTCTTCTGTTATAGGAATAGGAGAGCACCGTCTTATTTTGCGCCCTGCGGCTCGCCTGACATCGTGGAGCAACAGATTTTAAAAAAGCATTTTAGATTTGAACCTTATCAGTGCGCTTCTGCTCAATCCCGATCCAATCACAGGCCGGTGGGTTGGCCCTTGACCAAGCTGTAACGCTTTAAAAGCAATAGAGGAAAGTGAAGTCAGGTTCTGCCGGTTGCCGGCTGAGCAGAATTATAGGGAAAGTCACAGTTATACATTTCTGTGTGAATTTAGGTGTTGGTAGATTTTGGGCACGTCTGGGATTTGATTGGCACGTCTGGGATTTGATTGGCACGTCTGGGATTTGATTGACTTTCTTATTATATACCCAGACATCAGAGCCATGCATAAAGCATACATATAAAAATATACCATTAATAATAAATTGCAGCAGCGGGTAGAAGACTCCTGAGCTCTATCATTGGTGTTTGTGTCGGCAGCCGGCTCCCTCTTGTATCTCCAGAGAATACTGTAAATGGAGTTGGGTTCTCCAGCACTTGGAGCCCACAATGTCACAGACTCTGGTACCCTGGCTGTTTTTCACGGTCTGGTTGTTAGGAATACATTCTCCCTCCCTGCATTACCGGACTGCCGATGACGGATGATGTTAAAGTGCGTATGACAGCGCTGGTCTAGGTGCCAAAACTAATGCAAACAATAAAAGTTATAAATGACTGTAAGTGACAGGGCCCGGGCCAGGCGGGAATCTCTTCTGATGGTTGTTTATGCTCCTCACCCACAGAATGAGGGGGGTGTGCAGGTGCTACTGTTGGCTTATGCCAGGGTGCAATTTCTGATTAGAAGATCTGGACTGGCAATGTCAACCAATGCCAGAAGGGTGGGGGGGGGGGATAGGGGGGGCCCAGTCAC